CTGGAACTTGCTGAGAAAGGCTGTTGTTGTTCAAGGATAGTTCCACCAACGCTTGCAACTCACAGAGTTCATCAGGAATGGGTCCGTGCAACTCATTACCAGAAAGATCCAAGCCCTGAAGCTTCCTCAATCGTCGTATTGCTCGCGGAATGAATCCACTTAATCGATTGGATGAGAGGTCGAGGCCCACTAAGTTGCTCAAGTTACCAACTGCATCTGGGATGTAGCCAATTAACCCGCAGTTCTGTGCTTGAATTCGTACCATAGACGAGGAGAGATTGCCTATGGAACTTGGCAGCGCAGCCTCAACCAGAGTGGATGAAAATTCCAACACTTCCAAATGAGTGCACTTTGTTAAAGAAGCGAGGAAGGAAGGAGGAACAACCAGGTCTCCGTTGTCCCATATTTGTAAATTTCGGATAGATGGCAGATTGCTAAGGGCATCAGGAACACGACCGTGGAATGTGTTGTTAGATAGCTCCAAAACCTCGAGCTTAGAAGCATTGGAGATTGAGGGCGGGATACTTCCAATGAGGTTGTTACCGAATACATCAAGCCACTCAAGATTGGCAAGTTGAGAGCCCAATGCAGTTATTGGGAGATTCCCTGATAGTTCATTAAAAGAAAACTCTATCACCCTTAAGGAGGAAATGTTGAATATGGTCTTGGGGATTGATCCACTTAGCTTGTTAAAACGCAGGACGAGTATTTCGAGAGCATTTAGATTACCCAACTCAATGGGAATTTCACCTATATACAATCCATTTTTATATAAAAAAAAAAGATATGTCAGCCAATGAGAGCAATATTAACTGAATGCTAGCTGCTAGAGCGAAAAGAATGTTGTATTCAAAAAAATTATCAGACACCTAATCAACCTGTAAAATTACCTGTTATCCCGAGTGAAGCTAATTGCGCATTTTGGATGAAAATATAGATGGAAAGACATGGATAACTTTTTTGTTATATAATAACACTTGTGTGACCTTTTTGTTACGTTTTAGACATTTATCGACTATGCCAAATAGTAGCAACGAGCTTTTAGCCCCTATGGAAATGGGGAAAAAATGCAAATTATCATATTTTGATTCACAAGTGAAAATTTTATTTTGGTTTATAATCAAATTAAGATCTTCTAATTGTCACATTTCACCCCCTTAAATTTGAACATGATTTGAATTCATTGTGAGTTCATTTGTATTTGTTTTGAACATAATTTGTATATTCTTATGTGTTATTGTTATGATTGAATCATATCAATGATTGAATCATTAGAACCGTCAAATCAGTTACGATAATGGTTCGATTTATTAACTTGGACAATTAGAAATGGACTAAACGATTTTTAGCACTTGGATTTGAAACCAGATGAACCGCCTCTGTCTGACCGTTTCACTATCTTAACCACAAAATGAACCAAAAAAAGTTCACAAAACAAAGACGGTCCAACCGTGGACTAAACTAAGACAAGTACAACATAAATAAAAACCACCCTTAACAAATCTGCAATCTCAATATTAACTAAAAAACCTAATGAAAAATAAACATGCAATCAAACGAATAAAATACAGGTCGTACCTGTCAATTTAGTTTCGGCCACAAATAACCACTCGAGCATGGTGCAATTCCCAATCGTTGTTGGAATCCTTCCAGAGAACTGATTGGTAGATAACTCTACACCCACTAGGCTTGCACAATCTCCAATACTCTTAGGAATCGCACCTTGTAGCTGGTTATCAAACAGACGTAACTGTTCGAGGTTCGGTGCACGAGAAAATAAATCGTCCGGCAAAATTCCTGATAACGTATTTGTAGACAGATCCACGACTTGAAGAGTCGTAATATTGAATATCGCGGAAGGAATTGTACTAGAAAGGCCAGCATCCCACAACCTCAGTATCTCTAATCTTCTAAGATTGCTTATTTCAGATGGTATCTCACCTGCAATATTATAAAACAATTGGTGCGTTATTTTATGTAATATTAAGGTTCAAGAAAGCGTTAAGCGTAAGGCGAGCGTTGATGCTCTGCCCAGCGCCTAGCATGCTTAGGCGTGCCTAATCATTAGATGTAAACGTAGCAAAATATTTCACATTTGCATATAACCACAAATTTATGAACCAATATTATTGCATCTGCCTCTCATTTCTAAACCTCATCAACAACTCATGGTAAAGTATAAAACATAATGAGGCGAAATGATAAAGGAAGAAGAAGTTTGAAAATAACGAAGTAGATTGAGAGCGAAGAAGCGCAAAAAAGAAATAAGAAGCTACTCTAAATATGGTGGTCTCTAACTCTAGCCTGGCGGCTAGGAACACGCCTAAAGACGAACCGTTTCCTTATGACTTGAGGCCTAAACAGGGTTAGGCGAGTGCCTAGACACGTTTTTTTAGAACCTTGCTCCGCGTACGTTTCATTTTCCACTCTATGAAACCACCAATAAATGAACTTGTGCTAGCTAATAGTACGTACCCGTTAAGTTTGTTTCCCCCAAGGACAGAAATGTTAGTGCGGTCAAATTCCCGATACTCTTTGGGATCGTTCCAGTAAACCAATTCCCGGAGAGCGACAGGAACTGAAGATTGCTACAATGCCCCTCCAATGATGATGGAATTGGCCCTGCTGTCAGAGCAAACTTGATGCACATATCATCAGGCAGGCTCCCGGAAAGGCCGTTGTGTGCCAATATCAGTGTCTCCAGAGAAGAAATGTTGAAGATTGTGGTTGGTATGGCCCCTGAAAGCCTGTTGTGACCCAAATCCAGCTCCCTTAAACCACTAAGACCCCCAAGCGACCACGGGATTGTACCTCCAAACCGATTGGTAGACAAGTTGATGGTCTTCAATCTACGCAGCTTAGACAGCTCCATCGGCAAATCACCACCTAAGAGATTGTCGCTGAGGTCGAGGGAGAGCAAGAAGGAGAGGTTGCCAATGTGGGGAGGCAGAGTCCCCTGCAGCCCCATGTTCGCCAGATTCAAGGAGGTCACTCTCCTGTGGCGGCGCCCGCAAGAGACGCCGACCCAGTTGGTGCAGACTTCGGATGTCCTCCCCGCGGTCCAGTTGCGGGAGAGAGGATGATCGGAAGAAGAAGCGGCGGCGGTGATGATGTGCGCTTTGAGTTGGAGAAGAGCTGCTGCATCACGTTGGTCGTTATTGTAATAGCTACCAGCAGCAGCAGCAGCAGCAGCAGTGGTGGTGGAGAGGAAGAAGAGGCAGCGTTGGATTAACTGCATGATGAGTAGCAACTGAATCATGGTTGGTATTCTACTCGTGGAAGAATAGCTAGTGGGTGAATAATGTATGAACAGGATCCAGAGAGTCCCTCTGCATTTATACACAGTTCCTTGCAAGTGAGGATTGGATTGGGGGGGGGGGGGGGGGGGGGGGGGGGGAAGAAACCAAAACTTTATTAGTATGACTTGAATCGGGCTATCTCGCTACCATTGAAAGTCACGGAGGGCGATGCTTCTCTTGATGGGGGCTCGGGGGCAACGACCCCAGTTTATGGGCTCAATGTTATTTGGGTTTCTGTTCTTGTCATGGTTTGTACTTTGTAACTGTTTCCATGTATTAGATTGGATTAGGGTTAAATCAAATGGAGAAATGCTATAAACAATTCTCATACTCCTCTGTAATCTGTATTTCCTCAAAGTGTAGTGAAACTGGCTCTCTCCTGTTCGTGGACTAGCTAACCCACATCGTATTAGTGAATCACGTAAATCGGTGTGTCGTGTTCGTTCTTGCTTTCATTTTTTCTTGCTTTGTCGTTTCTTATGTTTTCCGATCCACGGAAAACTAGTCGTGACATTGATGCATCGATCCATTATGATAATGGCCAATTAGATCTCAGCAGCCATGGAAGAGGTTATCTTTAAGCTATGGCTAGTAGTAAGTAGTTGCATGGGGAAAGAATGATGACAAGAATGGCACTCAGCTCCAAAGACCTACCGTGGCTTACAAGTTACAAGGTGCGCAGTGAATGGGGGCAGACTGCAGAGTCCCTTGAACCTGAAGCCACATATATCAGGGTTGGTATTGTACTTGTAAAAGAATACACGGCCAAAGTGGGAAGACTTTGAATGGGTCAGTCAACTCGAGTCATCAAACATTGGACTGATGCGGATGGTGATAGGAGTGAGAAATGGTTTGATTGCTGTATTTTTCATCCCACCAGGAGGAGAAGAGACATTTGTATATTTGTGTCTATCTAGTTTAATTAGTACGAGGCCTTTTGAGGGAAATACTTATAAAATAGACGGGTTTGGCTCAAAGCAGATAATATCATACTAACGGAGCTGTCCTATTTTAGCAACTGGTATCAGAGCCTGGTTCAGTTTGGATCTGGAGCGGTGAACGTACTGTTTCGTAACTTTTTTTCAATTGTCGGCGTCCACGTTTGAGAAATTTCCCTCGGGCAATTGCATGGTGAGAATGGTGAAGATCACTTCGTCGTCCACGTTTGAGAAAGATGAGTAGTGAGAAATTACTACTAACCAGTGAGTGGCGAGAATTGAGGTCCGACCGGTTGCAGAGCTACGACTGCGCGTCGGAGTAAACAACCCACGTAACTATTTCACACACACTCATCATTCGACTGTACTTAAACTGGGAAATTTTTTTAACTCGGTCTATAACAGTTTTCGAAAATGTGTTCACCGCCCTGAAATATTTCTCATTTGGAGATGTGGATAACATATGCAACATTGGAGAAGAAAGTAGCAGCGTTTGTTTTAGCATGAGAATTAAAATCAACTAGAAAGAGAGTTTTTGATACATGAAATAAGATGTGAGAAATGTGCTCCTATAATATTGCGAATTAACAAACATGTCCCTGTATACTATATTTTTACACAAACATGTCATTCTAATATTACAACGTAACGAAAATACTTTTCCATTAAAAATTCTGTTTTCTCACCGTTAACTAGGGTCGGAAATGACCCAACAACCCCTGATTAATAACTAAATGCCATCCCTCCCCATTAAATTATTCCACTGTTAAAAAAACCCCACCCGTTTCTTCCACTTTGAAAGAAAATCCACCCCTCTCCTATTTGATTATTCCCGTCAACGAAGACGCTGCCGGCAGCGGGAGAGCATCCTGAACCAGCAGGAGCATCCGGTAATCCTTCTCCCTCCGACGACAGCGAGAGCATCCCGGAAGCCTTCTCCCTCCGGCAGCAGCGGGAGCATCCCGGAAACCTTCTTCCTCGGGCGCAACAGAGACAAACCCTCTCTTCTTCCTTCTCCTTTTGTCTTATTCGTATAAATTAGGTTTAAATAAGGGGGTTTGGAATGGAGCCTTAACTAAGAGGCAAATGTGATAAGTGTAAATTTCCTCTTGCTTGTCGATGGAACTTCAGTCTCCCAGGATTGCGGCCGTTCTGGACGAGGACCACTACAACAATGCAACGCCGGTCGAGTCCCCAGCAGCAAGGCAGCGCCGACGCAACGTCGACAGAGTTGGTGGACGCCGGACGGGTTGGTTGGAACCGATGATGATTGACTGGTCGCTCTTGGTAGAAGGGAGAAGGTGAACGAATTACGGCTGTAGCTTACGGGATTCTTTCTTTTCTTAATTCGGTTGTAATTAGTTGAAAAGTAAATGGCATTTAGTTATTAATCAGGGGTAGTTAGGTCATTTCCAACCCTAGTTAACGGTGAGAAAACATAATTTTTAACGAAAGAGTATTTCCGTTACATTATAATATAAGAAGGGCATGTTTATACAAAAACATAATACAGAGACACTTTTGTTAATTTGCAAAAATACAGGAGCAGGAAATGCTATTAACCCTATTTTTATCTATCTGTTTATTAGGTTTGATTCAGGGCTTAATTAAATGGGGCAGGTTTTCTGATGGAAAAATGGATAGAATTATCCTACCAATACTATATAGAGGTTCTTGGCATGAACCCCCGTAATCTCCTTTTTCCTGCTCTGTGCGTAACCCACGGCAGGAGATTTTGGTAATTGTGCTATCAATTTATTGACCGAACTGGGCTGGGCCCATTCTTTTTTCCCTTGCAAACGGGACATGTAAACAATTGAAAGGGCTTTACTTGGACCAGAGATAATTGAGATGGAGAATTCTTTCGGAGGACAACACTCAAGCGGCATCATGCCATCATCCCCTAAATCTTAATAATCAGTTCACTCGCCATCTTCAAAGAAAGATGCTAATCAGCTAATGAAAATGGGAAGGAGATTATGTGCCTAGGAAGATTCTATCGGTGTGAAACTGACGTGTCATATTTGTAAATATTTTATCATTAAAATTTTGTTTTCAATGAAATGTAGAAAAAAGAATGCTTAATGATGGAGGTAATGGATCAAATATTGGAGATAATGACAATTTGAGTGTTGATACGAAGGAAGATAATATTGAATTATTGATGGTGTAGACCATAGTTTTAGTTCGATTTAATAAGTTATTTAATTAGCATTTGACTTCTTGATATTATCTTAGTTTTTAATCTCAACTTCTTACGTCGATGAATCATTTAAGATGTGAGAAAACTCTATGAAACTCTTTGATGTATGTCATTTTTATCATTTTAGTAACTGAATTATTTGAATTTCTTTATCGTATTATATAAAAATGCATATTTGGTTCGGATAATTTCCATCGATAAAATGTACCCGTCCAACGGGCGGGCCCAAATCTAGTAGAAATATATAGCTTCGTTTGTGCCCATATAAGTACAGTAGGACTTGTTTGTTGCAAAATGCAAGTAGAAGCAATTCGTTAGATTCCCAAAGTAGAGGTGCTTATTTGAATTTTTCATAATTACTTTATTTAAGGGGATTGCTATTCGTCGCCCTAAAAATCCTTATTTGTCGCCCTAATTAAATTAATTTTACTATAATGCCCTTAGTTTAATTTAAAACTTACCTCAAAACAAATTGTTACCGGAAATAAATAAAAAAACAATAATGCGCCGACTGCGGTGATTTCAACGCCGATGACGGCGCCGTTGTCGGTGAAAGCGCCGACTGCGGCAGCTTGCAATTAGGGTAAAGCTTTATCTTTTATTGTTTTGGAATATTTTAAATTTGGATTTCAACGAGTTTCTGACCTTTCTTTATTGGGTTTTCGATTATGGATGAAGTAAAGAAGGCAGTGGGAATGGAAGGAAAAGAAGGCCTCCGAGTCCCCTGAGTTTCGTCAGTGGCGAGAATGACGACGAAGGTTAAATCTCCTTTTGGTGAGTTTTTTTTAGTTGTGGATTGTGTTTCGGTTTAATAGTGGATAAATTTGACTTTTTGTTGAGGGGTAAATATGTCTAGTTAGTACGTTTTAGGGCGATACTATTTAAATTTTAGGGCGACGAATAGCAATTCAGTTATTTAATCGTCACAATTCCCGCTTCATTTCCCCTCCGACCTCCATCGGAGCTGCGAAACCCTAAAAAATGCTAACAAGTGAAATCTAGCTCACTGTCACTGCCACGGCGCAATTCCCTCTGCAGACTTCGCGCCAAGACTCATCGCAGTTTGGGTTCGCTAGCCGCAGTTGGATTCTTTCTCGCACCGGAGACGATAAAGAGCCTTTCGTCTGGTAATAGTCCTTTTATACATCTTCTTAGAGTTCCCCAGAACTGAAATTCTCTGTAGCTATGAACTACGAGTTAGGGAAAGCGAGAAAAAGGCGCCGAGGGGCTATGAACCACAGCAGAACTTGCTGCGAGTTGGGGAAAGCTAGGAGATGGCGCCGAGGGGCTATGAACCACAACAGAACTGGCTGGGAGTTGGGGAAAGCTTGGAAAAGGCTACATGAAGAAGAAGAAGAAGAAGAGACTAGTACTGGTAGTACAACTGACAGGATAAGCAATCTTCCAGAACCCATTATTTGTCACATCCTTTCGTTTCTCGACATCCAGTCTGCCGTGCAAACCTGCGTATTGTCGCGAGCATGGAGATCTGCTTGGAAACATGTCCCTGTTCTCGATCTCCGTAGCGAATCCTTCCGAGAGTATCCGAGTTTTCAGCGGTTCGTGGATAGAATTTTGTCACTCCGCTATCCCGTTAGTGTCCAGAAGATGACCTACATCGCCCATGGAAATCGGACGGAGCAAGACAATAGTCAATTTGGCAGGGTTGTTGAATATGCCTTGCACCATGATACTCAACATTTGGCATTCTACGTGGGTGATGGAATTGGTTACGGTATCGGTTGCAGATTCTCGAATTTGTTCGGCTCGATGTCGAATTGCAATCTCAGGACTCTTGAGCTGTGTTGGGTCACCATCGATGGCAGATTTTGGTCTTTTGGGTTTCCGAGGCTGAACACTTTGGTGTTGGATTGGTGCCCGCTGTCTTTTGAGCAGGAGGACCTCGATCCATTTTCCAACTTCCCGTGTCTCCAGAGTTTGTCTTTGACTAGTTGCCACCCCAAGAAGGTTCCGCGTCACATGCGTGAAAGGAGTTTCAAGATTTCCGGGCTCGAATTGGTCAGCCTGAGGCTCGAAAGTACGGAGTTTCACAAGGTTGAGATAGTTGCACCAAAACTCAAGTCGCTGTATCTTAGGGGAGGTGTGGAGCAATGCTCAGTGTTCTCAGAGCTAACTCTTCCTTCCCTCGTTCATGCTGATGTTCTTGTCTATCCGGCTTCCATTTTCAACCATGAGAGATTTGTGGAGCGACATTTGTTCTCCTTGTTCCAAGCTTTGGGTAATGCAAACTCTCTGACGCTGGGTTCTAATACCATCAAGGTATTCTTTGGTTTTAATATTGTGGCCTTTTAATGGGTTGGTTTCTTCCTGTGCATATTTATCACCTCATGTCTCAAGTTGGTTTGTTGTTCTGTTTAGGTGCTGAGTGGTTTGGAGGATGAGCTTCTGGAACAACTACCCTCTCCCTTTACGAGATTGAAGCTTCTGAATGTGCAGTCAAGCAGCATACCTTACAGAGTGGCTGATTACTTTCTCAAAGGATCTTGTGCAGAACCAAAAGTTGATGCTGTGTAGATGTAGTAGTCAATTTTCCCTTTGCCTTTCTTTTTTTGGACGGTCTTTCGTTACGTTCAGGGCGTCTAGGAAGAATTCTTACCTCTAGGGAACTGGGTTGCTATTCCTTTTATCAGGTTCTTCTGAATCACATTGATGCATATATCCTCTTCACTCTGTCCTTAAGTATCAATTGACTTGGGTAGATTACTATACATGTCTCATGGTTTGTTTCTTATCTTCATGTGTGCTAAAAGATGGAATCGTACTTTGTTCACATTCAGGCCTTACCTAGTACCAATGGGGGAACAGAGTCAAACCAATGGGGGAAAGTCAACTAGCAAGTCCAAACAGAACAATCAAGATAAAATTTCTACGGTTTACTGTTCCATCAGGATTTGAAACAGCCTGAGATTTGAAACAACCTCATATAACTACTTTTTCTGTACATTCTGGGTGTTAATGTTATGGTATATGATCCACGATTGAACCTCTTCCAACAACTCGAGTTATTGGGATCAACTGGTTCTTGACATGGTATCAGAGCCTTCTGTGACCGAGAGGTCTTGTGTTCGATTCCCGGTGACCCCCATTTGTTAAGCACATGATATTCTTGTCTTCAGACCTGTGCAAACTTCAAGCCCTTGTGAGTGGCTTTCGTTTGAGTGGCTTTCGTTTGAGACACTGGGGACTGTGCACAAGTTCCTACCTAAGAAAGGCCATTTCTGGGCATGAAAACTCCTACTTCAGCAATCTCATTAACAAGATCAACAGTTTTTGACCAATGTGATCTTCCAACCCAGAGCCTGGGTTTGTCGACCGTTGGAGCAATACAAACCAGTCAACCACACCCCAGAAACCGCCCAGGAAACCCAGAGCAACGCTGCCAGAGAACCAATGCAATGCATACTCTTCATCATTTTCTTCTCCATCCATTAAACCAGGCACTCTGTTGTTGCTGCTGCTGCAGTCCACCTTCAATCGAGGCCCACAAAGTTCTCGATTGCCGATGAAGCTCCATGAATCAAAGCTCTGCAGTTGATTGCTTGAAGGAATTATACCACCCAAGTTGTTGTGCAACAAGTTCAATGAAGAATCCTTCTGATTTCCCAATAGAAGAAGTCAAATTCTTGCCTTTAGCTAGGAGCAAAAATATCCAACTGCTGGCCACCGTCCCTTAATCATAAGATAAAACTGTCATTTTGTCTGCTTAAGTTCGGCTATTGCATAATAAATCCGCAGGTATGAGATCATGAGAATGGAGCTTACCTTATCAATATATGAGTCCGAAATAAAATGAGTCAAATTCTTGTTTTTTAAGCTATGGGAAAAGCATCTCAGCTGCTGCCCACCGTTAAGCATCGATTTGGGCCAATTTATTTTCGGATGACATTTTCGTAATTTCTTGGGCGACGAAAGGCTATTTTCTTCGGATATTGAAGGCTACAGATCACTGATTCGGCTTGAGGCTATTATCCAACAATGATTGAGTCCATTAAGCACCGATTTGGGCGGATTTATTCCGGGTCAATTTTTGGCAGATTCCAAAGGGGTACCATCACAGATTTCAGGCGATTTATCTGAAATGCCATTTTCTTTCGATTCTGGAGGCTACAGATCACGGAATCAGGCCGAGGCTATTCTCCACCGATAATGAAGTCTATTGATTCTATTCTCCACGGATGATAAGTCCGTTAAGCATCGATTTGGGCCAATTTATTTTTGGATGATATTTTCTTAATTTCTTGGTCGACGAAAGGCCATTTTCATTGGATATTGAAGGCTACAGATTGCTGATTCGGCATGAGGCTATTCTCAAACGATGATTGAGTTCATTAAGCATCGATTTGGGCGGATTTATTCCGGGTCAATTTTTGGCAGATTCCAAAGGGGTACCATCACAGATTTCGGGCTTTTTATCCGAAATGCCATTTTCTTTCGATTCTGGAGGCTACAGATCACGGAATCAGGCCGAGGCTATTCTCCACCGATAACGAAGTCTATTGATCCTATTCTCCACGGATGGTAAGTCCGTTAAGCATCGATTTGGGCCAATTTATTTTCGGATGACATTTTCGCAATTTCTTGGGCGACGAAAGGTCATTTTCTTTGGATAATGAAGGCTACAGATCACTGATTCGGCCTGAGGCTATTCTCCAACGATGATTGAGTCCATTACGCAGCGATTTGGGCAGATTTATTCCAGGGTCAATTTTTGGCAGATTCCAAAGGCATCACAAATTTCGGGCGATTTATCCGAAATGCCATTTTCTTTCGATTCTGGAGGCTACAGATCACGGAATCAGGCCGAGGCTATTCTCCACCGATAATGAAGTCTATTGATCCTATACTCCACGGATGATAAGTCCGTTAGGCATCGATTTGGGCCAATTTATTTTTCGGATGGCATTTTCATAATTTCTTGGGCGACGAAAGGCCATTTTCTTTGGATATTGAAGGCTACAGATCACTGATAAGGCCTGAGGTTATTCTCCAATGATGATTGAGTCTATTAAGCATCGATTTGGGCGGATTTATTCCGGGTCAAATTTTGGCAGATTCCAAAGGGGTACCATCATAGATTTCAGGCGATTTATCCGAAATGCCATTTTCTTTCGATTCTGGAGGCTACAGATCACGGAATCAGGCCGAGGCTATTCTCCACCGATAATGAAGTCTACTGATCCTATTCTCCACGGATGATAAGTCCGTTAGGCATCGATTTGGGCCAATTTATTTTTCGAATGGCATTTTCGTAATTTCTTGGGCGACGAAAGGCCATTTTCTTTGGATATTGAAGGCTACAGATCACTGATTCGGCATGAGGCTATTCTCCAACGATGATTGAGTCCATTAAGCACCGATTTGGGCGGATTTAGTCCGGATCAATTTTTGGCAGATTCCAAAGGGGTACCATCACAGATTTCGGGCGATTTATCTGAAATGCCATTTTCTTTCGATTCTGAGCTACAGATCACGGAATCAGGCCAATGCTATTCTCCACCGATAATGAAGTCTATTTATTCTATTCTCCACGGATGATAAGTCCGTTAAGAATCGATTTGGGCCAATTTATTTTTCGGATGACAGTTTCGTAATTTCTTGGGCGACGAAAGGCCATTTTCTTTGGATATTGAAGGCTACAGAACACTGATTTGGCCTGAGGCTATTCTCAAATGATGATTGAGTCCATTAAGCATTGATTTGGCAGATTTATTCCGGGTCAATTTTTGGCAGATTCCAAAGGGGTACCATCACAGATTTCGGGCTTTTTATCCGAAATGCCATTTTCTTTCGATTCTAGAGGCTACAGATCACGGAATCAGGCCGAGGCTATTCTCCATGGATAATGAAGTCTATTGATCCTATTCTCCACGGATGGTAAGTCCGTTAAGCATCGATTTGGGCCAATTTATTTTCAGATGCCATTTTCGCAATTTCTTGGGCGACGAAAGGCCATTTTCTTTGGATATTGAAGGCTACAGATCACTGATTCGGCCTGAGGCTATCCACCCGAATCCGTAACCGTGGATATCCACCCGAATCCCACCTAATCGGTTGGGTAAAACCCGAACCCGAAGCATTTTTCGTGGGTACGGGTAAAACCCGAACCCGAATGTTGCGGGTAATGGGTGGGCATGGTTATCTCACTATCCAACCCGAACCCGCCCAATTATACATATGCATATGTATTTTGTCTAGAAATAATCATTATTTTTCTCTAGAATATTTTATATTTAGCATATAAATATAATATATTCATGAAATTATGTTGTTTTAATTAATTTTCGTCATTCTAGTGAATTATTGTCGTACTTTTCCTCTTACGTAATGTGAGTATACGTGTGAATGTTAACATATTGGTTGGAATTATAAAAGAAATTATTACCCATGGATAACCGTGCATACCCGAAACCCGAACGGGTATGGGCATGGTTTTGATTTTCTACCCGTTTCTTGTATGGGTACGGGTATGGGTTAAACTCGAACTACATTGGGTAAGGTAACGGATATGCACTATCCGCACCCGACCCAACCCATTGCCATCCCTAGATGATTGAGTCCATTAAGCAGCGATTTGGGCGGATTTATTCCGGGTCAATTTTTTGCAGATTCCAAAGGGGTACCATCACAGATTTCGGGCGATTTATCCGAAATGCCATTTTCTTTCGATTCTGGAGGCTACAGATCACGGAATCAGGCCGAGGCTATTCTCCACCGATAATGAAGTCTATTGATCATATAGTCCACGGATGATAAGTCCGTTAGGCATGGATTTGGGACAATTTATTTTTCGGATGGCATTTTCGTAATTTCTTGGGCGACGAAAGGCCATTTTCTTTGGATATTAAAGCTACAGATCAGTGATTCAGCCTCAGGCTATTCTCTAATGATGATTGAGTCTATTAAGCATCGATTTGGGCGGATTTATTCCGGGTCAAATTTTGGCAGATTCCAAAGGGGTACCATCACAGATTTCGGGCGATTTATCCGAAATACCATTTTCTTTCGATTCTGGAGGCTACAGATCACGGAATCAGGCCGAGGCTATTCTCCACCGATAATAAAGTCTATTGATCCTATTCTCCACGGATGATAAGTCCGTTAAGCATCGATTTGGGCCAATTTATTTTCGGATGACATTTTCGCAATTTCTTGGGCGACGAAAGGCCATTTTCTTTGGATATTGAAGGCTACAGATCACTGATTCGGCCTGAGGCTATTCTCCAACGATGATTGAGTCCATTAAGCACTGATTTGGGCGAATTTATTCCGGGTCAATTTTTGGGAGATTCCAAAGGGGTACCATCACAGATTTCGGGCGATTTATCCGTAATGCCATTTTCTTTCGATTCTGGAGGCTAAAGATCAGGGAATCAGGGCAAGGCTATTTCCACCGATAATGAAGTCTATTGATTCTATTCTCCACGGATGATAAGTCCGTTAAGCATCGATTTGGGGCAATTTATTTTCGGATGGCATTTTTGTAATTTCTTGGGGGAGGAAATGGCATTTTCTTTGGATATTGAAGGCTACAGATCACTGATTCGGCTTGAGGCTATTCTCCAACAATGATTTAGTCCATTAAGCACCGATTTGGGCGGATTTATTCCGCGTCAATTTTTGGCAGATTCCAAAGGGGTACCATCACTGATTTCAGGCGATTTATCCGAAATGCCATTTTCTTTCGATTCAGGAGGCTACAGATCACGGAATCAGGCCGAGGATATTCTCCACCAATTATGAAGTCTATTGATTCTATTCTCCACGGATGATAAGTCTGTTAAGCATCGGTTAGGGCCAATTTATTTTTGGATGACATTTTTGTAATTTCTTGTGCGACGAAAGGCCATTTTCTTTAATTATTGAAGGCTACAGATCACTGATTCTGCCTGAGGCTATTCTCAATGATGATTGAGTCCATTAAGCTCCGATTTGGGCGGATTTATTCCGGGTCAATTTTGGACAGATTCCAAAGGGGCACCATCACAGATTTTGGGCGATTTATCCGAAATGCCATTATATTTCGATTCTGGAGGCTACAGATCACGGAATCAGTCCGAGGCTGTTCTCCACCGATAATAAAGTCTATTGATCCTATTCTCCACGGATGATAAGTCCGTTAAGCATCGATTTGGGCCAATTTATTTTCGGATGGCATTTTCGTAATTTCTTGGGCGACGAAAGGCCATTTTCTTTAATTATTGAAGGCTACAGATCACTGATTCGGCCTTGGGCTATTCTCCAACGATGATTGAGTCCATTAAGCAGCGATTTGGACGGATTTATTCCGGGTCAATTTTTGGCAGATTCCAAAGGGGTACCTCACTGATTTCGGGCGATTTATCCAAAATGCCATTTTCTTTCAATTCTGGAGGCTACAGATCACGGAATCAGGCCGAGGCTATTCTCCACCGATAATAAAGTCTATTGATCTTATTCTCCACGGATGATAAGTACGTTAAGCATCGATTGGGCCAATTTATTTTTCGAATGGCATTTTCTTAATTTCTTGGTCGACGAAAGGAATTTTTCTTTGGATATTAAAGGCTTCAGATCACTGATTCGGCCTGAGGCTATTTTCCGACAATAATTCAGTCCATTAAGCACCAATTTGGGCGGATTTATTCCGGGTCAATTTATGGCAGATTCCAAAGGGGTATGATAACACTTAAATTATACATATATCCACCTACACTTTTACATCCTAAAATGAACTAAATTGTGCGAAGTTCATTCGATTTCCCGATTTTATGCTTGGTTGTGTTTGAATCATGTTTCAGGGTATTTTATTCGATAAGAACAGAATAATGAGTCAATTCAACAAAAAGGTGGCAGGTTCGAAATCTGGCGTCGGTGGAACTCGAGCCTGCGACGTCCCAGGCGAGGGCAAAGAGCCGTACCACTTCAGCCGCGTTCCCTTTTGTTATCAATATACGAAAATCATCGTGTATTATGGTGATGCACTATGGAAAGGAGAAGCAACTACCTACCAAAATGCACTATGGAAAGGAGAAGCAACTACCTACCAAAATGCACTATGGAAAGGAGAAGCAACTACCTACCAAAATGGACTATAAAAGGAGGAGGATTTGGACCATAGAGAAAAGGACTTACTCTTCTTGTTTCATTTCAATTCTTCCTTGTCAAAACTCTCCCAAATCGTCGTTGTAATATTCGTATTTCAATCCAATGTCATATGCTTCATACGATAACGGTTCTCATTCTTGAGATTAGCGGTAATACGTTACATTAGTAAATTACCATAAGAAGTTTATTTAACTTCTAGGTGATTTATTGGTATAACGTACTTACTCTATTCTCGTTTCTTCCACTTGGTTTACAACAAGGTGTTGATAATTTTTATACTCTTATGCGTTTAATTTTCATGCTATTATTATCGTGGGTTAAATAGGGACGGATTACCGCCTTACTCCCATATTTACTTTTTAAGTGGGGAAATTGGTTTATACGATTAGCTAGCTCACTTGAGTTAGTTAAGTCCTTCCATATCCCCATATTTATATTTTCGGAGTAGGGTTTGGTTTATACGATTAGCTAGCTCACTTGAGTTAGCTAAGTCCTTCCGCCCGTTCGTCCAATTTGTGCTATATTTATATTTATTTGTGGAGTGGGGTTTGGTTTATACGATTAGTTATCTCACTTGAGTTAACTATATCTTTCCGCCCTTTGTCCGTTTTAATGGAGAACTAAAAAACACGTTGTTTGGAATAGTGGAACCCTCGATGAAATTAAAGATCCCAACTCTTTTAACACAATTTAACTAACAGATTTATGACAAATTAACATATCTTGTGTTTGTTTATCTTGTTCCCGGATGAGAAGAGAGATCTTCCATTTAGGAAATTGTTGGAAGACAGAGTCGTCTAGAAACAGCACTCTGATTCCTTGATCACCAAATACAAGAACCATTCAGGTAAAATTCATGAGAAATCATGATTAATTTGTGTGGTCCATCTTGAGTGTAATTTGGGTCTTTATCTATCAACTTTCAATTATTTAATATGACGTGAAAACCGAGATTAGTAATTAGAAGCTGAACGAATTTATTGATAAGAAATTGCATGAATTCAATTTTAGAAATTACGATGGGATGAAATTTATATTAAAACTTGTTAATTAAATTGAGTTTATTCGGGATGAAACATCGAGGGGGAAACTAAACCAAACAACTTTTCCAAATCTTTGTCTAAATTAAATCATTTAATTCATTATACATAAGAATATTAATACTTGAGTAAGACAACAGAAAAGACCCTAGGGAAATACGACTCCAGTCAGTTTCACTTTCTGGATTATTTTTGCATGCGCTTTTAGCGACACCAAATTTTGGCGCCGTTGCCGGGGACACTTTTCTAGTTGTGTGAAAAAGAATTATTTCCTTGTATTATTTTATTTATTTTCCTACCTTGCTTTTCACGGGTTTTTACTGTTTTTGTTTTTCCATTCAGGATTCCTTTTATGAATCGACCAAATACCAGATTTTACAAACGAAAACTTGAAGAAGTTGTCTACGAAACAGTGAGCAATCCCTCTGAAGTCGGAGATAGTGAGACAGAATTTGAAGACTATAAGGAGGTGAAGGAAGAAAAGACCATCATGGCAGCCCGTCAAAGAACATTGGTTGATTTCGCTAAACCAAGTGCATCTGGTATTGCCTCCAGCATTACTAGACCACCCATCACAACAGCAAACTTCGAACTACGCCATAGCACAATCCAGATGGTGCAGAACGCCGGTCAGTTCGAAGGAAAGGACGATGACAACCCCGTCCATCATGTACAAGTCTTTCTGGAAATTTGTGACTCCGTCCAACACCAAGGAGTCACAGCAGATGCTATCAGGCTACGACTTTTTCCTTTCTCACTTAGAGGAAGAGCTAAGTCGTGGCTTGACTCTCAAGCACCAGGAACCTTCACCACCTGGGATGATCTAGCACAAGCTTTCGTGGAAGAATACTGACTCGCTCAAACACAACACCTAACAAAGGCCAAGTGTAACCAATGAAAGGGACTGCAGTATAGTGGCTCAAGTGATAAATATCGAATCCACGGGTCTCTAGAGTTACTATTACTCAGCTTCAGTTTATTATTTAGCAAATCAGATTAAGATGAAAGAACTAAAACTACTCTAGCAAACTACAGTTAAAGTTAATCTAATTACAGGTTGGGAACTCACTTAGGTATGATTCCCCCTAGCCACTAGCCAGATTAATGATTGATGATCTCTAACCTGTTTCACTTTCATTCACAATGCGGAGAATCCTTGACTAGACCGTGAGTCTCGACTAAAGGAACAAGGCCCTCTTGAGTCAATTGCCTAGAGGGACGTATCCTTCTCTAGAACAACTGATCAAGGCGTTCTGAACTAGACTCCCTCTATCGAAAGAGGTTCTCAATCGATACAAAGCAGTGAATCAACCCTTGACTAAAGCAATCGATCCACTACTATCAATCTATGGTGCTCTATTGACCTAATCAGGTATTCCCTCTCATAGGATCAAAACAGAATCAATAATCTCGACTAAAGCAGAATTGAATCATGAAAACATGCATAGATTGAATATGAACTCAAGATTATCAAGTCAGAGTACTCATACAATCATCCAATCAAACAAACATAGCTAGGGTTCCTCAAAACCTAAGTGAAGGGAAGTTACTCCATAGAGAAGAGAGAGACTGCAGTAAGAATCTTCAGATGATCAGTCTTCAAGTCCGGGCTTGTTCCTCAAGCTTCCAAGGCGAAGAAATCCTCCTTCTCTACTCCAAGAATGCCCTCAAATCGCCCTCTCTCTCTTTGGTTCGTCCCTTGGGTGTTTTGGATCCAAAAACCCAGCTCTACTCTTCTTTGGTTCGGAATTTGGCTTAAAACCAGGAAATCCCGACTCACACGGGCAGGGTGGCACGGCCGTGTGGCCTACCCAGTTGCCCGTGTGAGGCAAAACGCACCGTATCACTTAGTCGAATTCCAGGCTTCTTACACGGCCAGTGTGGCACGGCCGTGTGTGACTTCCTTCTGCCCGTGTCTGCTCTCGGCGAATGTGGCACGGCCAACCCGGCCACTTGCACGGCCGTGTCAATCTGCTGCTCTGCCCGTGTCTGCTCTCGCAGAATGTCACACGGCCAGACTGGCCTCTCGCACGGCCGTGTGAACATCAGGGTAGCCCGTGTGACCTCCTTTGCGACTTGTCTCGCGCCCGATCTTCGCCCAATCGACCCCGAACTCGCTCCTAAACCTTCATTCACTTGCCAGGACCTGAAATATCACAAACAAGCACAACCTAGCGTGAAATTGGTCTAAAACACAAGAAATCACATCTCAAACGGTGTAAGAACAGGGGTAAAAACATGTGTAATTAACGGTCTATCAAATACTTTCCTCCATGGAAGACAGACGAAATCAAGGAAAGAATATCTCACTTTTGCCAACGAAGTGGAGAACCACTCTATGACGCCTGGAGACGATTCCAAGGATTACTTCATTCATGCCCTCACCATGGGTTCGGACAAGAGCAGCTTGCCGACATCTTCGGAAAAGGTCTAGATGATGCCACAACAATCCTCATCAACCAAGCAGCAGATGGTGATATTACTCAACTAACAGCTGATGCGGCCATGACACATTATGCGGATATAGCAGCCAAGACAAGAAATTGGGCAAGAAGAACTGCTCCTCGCCCACTTTCTGTAAATAATGTCCAAGAGTCATCTGACTTTCAGACAGCAATGATGCTACAGATGGGGGCAATCACCCAACAACTTTTGGAGTTGAAGACTTCCACAATCTCACCACCAGTAGCTGAAATCTTTGAGTGTGATTGGTGTGATGGAAAAGATCACAACAGTATAGACTGTCGCAACTTTGGTCGATCTCGCAAAGAAAAGATTGACTACGTTGGACAGGGGTACCCACAAAATCGTCAAGGAGGGTTCTTCAACAACAACAATCGCCTCAACAACAACAACAACTATCAACACCCAAGCGGAGCACCTGCTGCACTTATTCGTCCACACTTTGGGCAAAATCCTCCACAACAACCATATCCGAATCAGCGGCCCCAACCAACTTACTATAATCCCAATAAGGATTTCGATAAGAGGCCACAAAATCAAGGCCCACCAGGCTATCAAGCACGACCTCAATATCAGGGTCAAACTAGTGGAGCCTCTAACAACCAAATTGAAGATATGAGCAGAGTTGATAGGCTCGAGAAGCTCATGTTGGGACAACAAGCATCCATCTCCAACATTGAATTACAAATGACCAATCTGGCCAAGATGTTGAGTGAAAGACCCCCTGGCACTCTTCCCAGCAACACGGAGAATAATCCCAAGGAGCAACTAAAGGTTATAACCCTTCGAAGTGGGAAGGAAATCGAGCCCATATCCATGAAGATCACCAAACCAAGTCCACATTCGCCAAAGAAGTCAGCCAAAATATGTCATTATGGAAGCCGACCTGCATAATGAGAAGACTGAGCTAAATCCCTCATCTGTGCCAACTCTGCCACCATACCAACCAAAAGCTCCCTATCCTGCCAGATTGAACACAGAGCTTAGAGATGCAGCTTACCAAAATTTTCTGGATCTTTTGGGTAAGGTGCATGTCAACATCCCCTTCATTGAAGTCATCTCCAAAATGCCTCAATATGCCAAATTTATGAAGGAGATTCTCACACACAAGAGAAAGTTGGGAGATGTGGCTTCAGTTGTCCTTAATGAAGAATGCTCTGCCGTAATCCTCAACAAGAGTCTACCAGAAAAACTCAAAGATCCAGGAAGTTTCACTCTACCATGCATCATCGGTAAACTAGAAGTGGAAAGAAGTTTGGCCGACCTTGGGGCAAGCATTAATGTTATGCCATTTTGCCTCTATCAACAACTTGGGCTAGGCGAGCTCACTCCGACCAAGATGACTATCCAGTTAGCAGACAAATCCTCTCGCCACCCCCGCGGCATCCTAGAGGATGTGCTCGTGAAGGCGGGACCATTTGTCTTTCCAACAGATTTTGTGATCATGGATACCGACGAGACTGACGTTTCGCTAATCCTTGGCCGTCCCTTCTTAGCAACGGCGAGAGATATAGTGGATGTTCATGACGGGAGGCTCACTCTACGAGTTGGAGATGCCAGTGCCACCTTCCGACTAAACGATGGAATGAGATATGCTCATGCTCATGATGACCTCAACTCAACTGATGATGAAATTGAAATGGCATCTGTTTCGTGCATCACCATATTCCCGGAGGAAGACAATTCTGAAGTATTCTCAATTACAAATCTTGAAGAAGAAGGGGAAGATTCTGAGTATCTTGAAGAACAACAAGAAGTTACTAAAAAAGAATTTAAATTTTCAAAAGAAGAACTACTGGAGGAGGTGGTTGAGCTCCCTAAAGTTCCTCTATTGAAAACTTCTTATGATGATCCACCAACCTTGGAGCTAAAAGCATTACCAGAACATTTGGAGTATGCCTTCCTCAGCAACAACTCCAAATTGCCAGTCATCATCAACTCATCTCTTTCTCCACAGCAGAAGGAACAACTAGTGGCTCTACTTAAGAGACACATAAAAGCAATTGCTTGGAAGATCACTGACATCCAAGGCATAAGTCCATCCTTCTGCACCCATAAAATTCTTATGGAGGACGAATACAAGACAGTAGTACAACCACAACGTCGCCTAAATCCAAACATGAGAGAAGTGGTAAAGAAGGAAGTCCTAAAGCTTCTTGATGCCGGGATAATCTATCCAATCTCTGACAGCCCTTGGGTCAGCCCAATACAAGTAGTTCCGAAGAAAGGAGGCGTGACTGTCGTTCCCAATAACAAGGGAGAACTCATTCCAACCCGAACAATCACTGGTTGGCGCGTTTGCATCGACTACAGACGTTTGAATGATGCCACTCGGAAGGATCATTTTCCTCTCCCCTTCATTGACCAGATGTTGGAGAGGTTGGCTGGCCATGAATTCTATTGTTTCTTGGATGGCATGTCCGGATACTTTCAGATTCTGATAGATCCAGCAGATCAGGAGAAGACCACTTTCACATGTCCATATGGTACTTTTGCTTATAGACGTATCCCTTTCGGGTTATGCAATGCACCTGCCACATTTCAAAGGTGCATGACAGCAATCTTCGGGAATCTAGTTGAGGATGCTGTAGAGGTCTTCATGGATGACTTCTCTGTCTATGGAGATTCATTTCATCATTGTCTATCAAATCTAGAGAAGGTGCTTATTTGATGCGAGGAGATACATCTTGCATTAAACTGGGAGAAGTGCCACTTCATGGTGACAGAGGGAATTGTTCTTGGCCACAAGATCTCAAACAAAGGCATTGAAGTTGATCGTGCAAAGATCGAGACAATTGCGGCTCTTCCACCACCATCTTCTGTAAAAGCAATACGTAGTTTCCTGGGCCATGCGGGATTCTACAGATGCTTCATCAAAGATTTCTCTAAGATCAGTCAGCCTTTGCCAAGCTTCTGGAGAAGGATGCAGTTTTCTCATTTGATGAGAAATGTCTTCTAGCATTTGAGTTCTTGAAGGAAAAACTCACCAACTCTCCCATCCTTATGGCTCCAGATTGGAACCTACCATTTGAGCTCATGTGTGATGCCAGTGATTATGCAGTTGGCGCTGTATTGGGACAAAGAAAAGAAAAGAGGTTCCATCCAATTTACTATGCCAGCAGAACTTTGAATGATGCTCAAAGGAACTACACCACCACAGAGAAGGAGATGATGGCCATTGTCTTCGCCTTCGATAAATTTCGTTCATATTTGGTGCTATCCCATACAGTGGTCTTCACAGATCATCAAGCACTTCGATACCTTCTATCAAAGGCAGATGCCAAGCCGAGACTCATTCGATGGATCTTACTACTCCAAGAATTCGACATAGAGATCAAAGACAAGAAAGGAGTCACAAATGTAGCTGCTGATCATCTATCTCGATTGGAGGGTGCTGAGTTTGCTATTTCAGATTCGGTCGAAATCAATGAGTCATTCCCGGATGAACAACTCCTCGAAGTCATCATAAAAGAAGCTGAAGGACCATGGTTTGCAGACATGGCCAATTACCTGGCTGTGGGACGACTTCCCCAACGCCTATCATATCAAGCAAAGAAGAAGTTCTTTGCTGACCTAAAGCATTACTTTTGGGATGATCCATTCCTATTCAGGATAGGCTCTGATGGGATAATCCGTCGATGTGTTCCTATCACCGAGGCACATAATATCATCCATCATTGTCATTCCGGCCCGGCAGGAGGCCACCACAGTGGAAATCGTACAGCAAGAAAAGTATTGGAATCAGGATTCTACTGGCCCACTATTTTTCGAGATTGCGACCACTTTGCTAGAAGCTGTGATGATTGTCAACGGATTGGCAACATTTCTAGACGGGATGAAATGCCACAACATATTTTTCAACCAATTGAAATCTTTGATGTCTGGGGCATTGATTTCATGGGACCCTTCCCATCATCTTCGGGCAACAAATACATCCTGGTGGCCGTTGACTATGTGTCAAAATGGGCAGAAGCACAAGCCCTTCCCACTAATGATGCCAGAAAAGTGGGGAAGTTTCTCCAACAACTATTCACCCGATTTGGGGTACCTCGAGCAATAATCAGTGATCGTGGAACTCATTTCCAAGGTCAATTTGACAAGGTGTGTGCTCGATTTGGGGTGACACATCGGCTATCCACATCCTACCATCCACAAACAAGCGGTCAAGTAGAGCTGACAAATCGGGAGCTCAAGCAAATACTCCAGAAAACAGTTGATCAATCTCGCAAGGATTGGTCAATTAAGCTTAATGACGCATTATGGGCATATCGCACAGCTTTCAAAAATCCAATAGGCACCTCGCCTTATCGGATGGTGTATGGTAAAGCGTGCCACCTACCAGTGGAATTGGAGCATAAAGCATTCTGGGCTCTCAAATCTCTAAACTTGGATCTTGGAGTAGCAGGTGAAGAAAGGATGATCCAGATGCATGAAATGGAGGAGTTTCGCTTTCATGCCTATGAAAGTACACGTCTTTACAAAGAACGCACCAAACGAATCCATGATGCAAGATTGAAAAGAAAGGATTTCAAGGCTGGAGATCAAGTGCTTCTGTTTAACTCTCGCCTTTTCGACTCTTTCCTGGAAAACTCAAGTCCAGGTGGTCTGGGCCATACACAATTAGCACGGTCCATCCATACGGTACTGTGGAACTTTTCGGTGAGGACAATTCAACCTTCAAGGTAAACGGGCATCGACTAAAACCCTACCTGGCAATGGATCAGCCTTCCAACCTTGAGATTGTCCACCTCTCCGCCCCAAATTAAGCTCCCCAATGGTCCAGCTATCACGACGATAAAGAAGCGCTCATTGAGAGGCAACTCAATACTCGGTTTGCATTTTCTTTACCTTATTTGTTGTGATTGTGTGCTTCGAATTTATTTATTTATTATTATTATTTTTTTTTTAAATGTGTTTGTGTGTTCACGTTCATTGAGGACAATGTCCAATTTAAGTGTGGGGGTGTATTGTGTGGCGTGAACCTCATAATTTTATTTATATGTGTTCTATTAAAAATTAAAATAAATTTTAATTTTTTTTTGTTTTGTTTTAATAGTGGGTATCTTTTGTTTTGATTTGAATTTCGTGATAATTACTATTGATACATAGATATTGTGATACGGACATTCAGCAACCTATTATGATGACTGAGGGATTAAAACAACTGTTTCTCGTGCTACTCATTCTTTGATGGCAAGAACTATCTGAAATCTTGAAAAAGAAATTTATCATCTTTGATTGTTGTTGCATAATATTTGGGAAGCATAGCATGAGAAACCGAGCATATAGTAAATCACGTGAGACTTGAGCATGATCGTTTCTTTCTTGTGTGTTAGATCCCTCTCTGTGCATGATGATATGCTTGATTCATACATGTTTGAGTAGTGACACCACTGCTAAGGATGACGGAGGCAATAGGTTCTACCCCTACAGCCAAATGACTACCCTGAACATTGTATCCATTAGTCAACCCCGTTGAGACGAGCCTTTTTGTTCGGTGACAACCATTTTTTAAACCAATCCCTGTTCTTCAAGCCTCAATTCATTTTGAACCCTTTTTCAAGGTTCCGTGTGAATGGTTTAAACAAATGACTTTCTGATTCATTTATTAAATACAAAAGTTGAGATAGGGAGAAACGAGTTCTGTAAGTGCATTTTTCAAAAAAATGAAATTGTTGGCCACTCGAAAAAAAATTAACAAAAAAAAAAAGAAGAGATAAATTGGCCACCATCTTTCATGCACTAATGATAAATAGGAGTGATTCTTCAAAAGCCACAGTGGCTACATTTTAAGCTCCTATTAAATCCTCAAAATCTTCTCCCTTATCTATAATTTCATCTTACAAAGATAAGCAGAAAAGTCATGGTTTTCGGTGCGGAAGAAAAATTTGGAA